TGGTCATTTATTATTTTCGCTTTTTCCTCCATTGTAATATTTTTTATTTACGCCGATTTTTCATCTCCATTATTTCGTACACTTTGCCATGCAAAACGCCACTCCGTGGAGAAATAAATTTGCAAACGGTAGAAGAAATATTTTCACTGAATCCCAACGATAAATTTTTTCGAACTGTTTTTCTTGTGCCGCGCTGTTGTGTTGTGCGTGGGTGGGTGGCTACTTGTATGTGTGTGTGTGTGTATGTGTGAGTGTAGGTGAGTCCGTCGTGTGGGTGTAGGGGAATGGGTGACACACAAGTCCAGCTTTCAGCTTCGAGCTTCCAGCATGGCATAAAGGTTTCGCTTTGCTCGCCTCGCACAATGATAAATGGACACGCGGCAGCCAAGTGGTGAGAAGCTGGTTGTGGTGGGGAAAGGGGAACGTGGAAAGGGGAAAGGGGGGAGGGGGTGGAGAAGAGAACTACTATAATAGCAGCCGCAAACTGTGAGCTGTGCAAGCGGCTTTCACCTGCAACCGTTGCTGATTCGAAACAGCAGTCCAACGCTTGTCAAAAACACTGAACGTGAACATCACTTATAACGCGAACGACTGAGGTGGAGAGGTATTGGAATTAGGAATGGACATAGTGCTAGTACGTCGTGAATGAACGAGGCAGGCAATCTTTAAAAAGTACATACACCTTATTCTGTTTTTACACGGTGGATAGGTTCCAGAAACAACCGTGTAAAAAAAGACATTGTTCATATGCAAAAATAGGTGATTATATATCTTATATCTAAAGAAATATATATGAAATTTTTAATTTTAAAGCGGTGTAATATCAAAATTGTGTAAAAAAAAAGACCGTGTAAAAACAGAATTAGGTTACACCATTTGACAGTAAAAACTTTTCGCCCATCAGTGGCGATTCCTTCGTCAATTTTTTGGCTTATGAATCCAATCCATGGAATCAGAAAATTATTTAGTCAAAATAAGTAAAATAAGTTTAAGAATATAAATAAATATAAATAAATAAAAAAATATATAAATGTTGTCCTTATTCCTTACAGAAGAGGCAAAATTAAAAGATTATTTGTGATAAAAAAAAAAAAACTTAAAGAAGAATCTTTATTGTTTGCTCATAAATTATTATTATTGTTTGATTTGTAAAGTATAACTCAAAATGAATAAGTATATTGTGGGAAAATGAATAAAAATTCACATTTTTAAAACATAGTGAGTATCCATAAATCATTGTAAAATATTGGTACAAAATATTGGTACAATGCTCGTTTGTTCAAAGCGACTATGAGTGAATGATTTTTTCGCTTTAAGAAAAGCAAAATAATCATTATTTGCTGCCCCTGTAATAATAGCTAAACTTTTATCACCTACTTTTCTGATGACCATTGAAGGCAGCCTTTTGTAGCAGCATTGTCAATGTCGCAGAAAAATGTGATATTCCAGACTTCCTTATTAAAATTATAAAGAAGAAATAGATAATTCGTAAAGGCATGATGGGCTTTCCCTTCTTTACTTTTGGATAGTTCTATACTTAAACAGTACTTTTCTTTTTCAGATTTAGAACTATTTTTTCTTATATTTAAATATTTACTTGGTATCGCCAGAAACACTAATGGATGATGCGCCTGCAGCTCATAAACATTGCTGGATTACAGCATGGCCAAAGTCGCATTAAAATGCGATATTCCAGACTTTCTCATTAAAATTATAAAGAAGCAGTAGAAAGAAGAAACTATTCATGAGGACATTTATAAATTTTCCTCTGCATAGTTCCATATTTCAAACAGTATTTTTCTTTGTGAATTTAAGCCTATTTTTCTTCGCTTTAAATAGTTACTCCTTTTCTAGACAGCATTTTTTTTCTCGATATTTCAATAGTTACTTGGTATCGCCACAAACTCGCATGGCTTATGGTCACACTAATGGAAGAAGCGCCTGCAGGTCATGAACATTGTAGCTCTACTTCTTTTCTAGACAACATTGCAGAGAAATGCTCCTCTATTTTTGAATAGTTCCATCAAATAGTACTTGTCTTAGTGGATTTATTTTTTTATTCTATATTTAAATAGTTACTTGTCATCGACACAAGCTCGTATTATTTATGGTCACACAAATGGAAGAAGCGCCTGCAGTTCATCCCAGCATCTAAAGCAGTCCAAGAATATTTAAGCCTCGACAAAGTGAATAGAAAAAGAGTGATTCCTTTGAAGGATTACAAAAAATGTAGAGCGTCACGCACCCATCTCTAATTGGTGTCATGAATGGGGGTGGCGGTTAGTCAACCATTCTCGACTATATGTGGCGAAATGGACATTTATGAAAGAATTATTGATGCCAACGCCAATATGTGTATGGGGGGGCGCGAGGGCTGTGCGCCTTGACGTCGGCCAAAGTTTATGGCATATTTTTTTATGACTCGCACAAAATGACCAACATGCCAGAGCCGATGTGGCTATGGCGACCAGGTCAAGCTTTAGTATAGCCGCCCATGTGGCTTGCCAAATGCCAAAACGTATAATAAATTGTCAGGTAGCTTGGTCTCGTCGTTTCCTCCATTCCGCCACTCTGCCACTCCTCCACTCCTCCATTTCGCGTTGCTAGGGTTGCTGTCAAAATGCATGGCCGGACCAAAAAATAGATGTATATATGTATATGGTATATGGCACTCTTTGGTAATGCTCCTACCTACCTACCTACCTTTTCGGCCAGAGCGGCCCACTGCATCGATTTTTACGAAAAATTTTAATTTATCGACGCCATATGTGGGCAGCGAGCAGGAACTATTGTTCGCTCACGGTTGCTTTCCCCTTAAGTTCTTCTGTTACTTGTTTTAACGGATGGAGCGGGGGGCAAGGCGATAGAAAATAAAATTTGATTTACTGCTGGCACTGCTAGCTTTGCCAGTAGCAGCAAAAGCAGCACCAGTAGCAGCAGCAGCAGCAGCAGCAGCAGTAGCAGCAACTCCTATTCCTAGTCGTTGGTTGCATGATTTAGCGCCAACGTCGTAGAATGTTATGATTTGTGAGTCACTGGATATGGCTTTGTTTTATATGCATGCATGTGTGTGTGTGTGTGTATGTGTGTGTGTATGTGTGTGTACACCAGATAAGAGTTGGTAAATTTTAAAATACACATTCGTTTTGCTTTTCTCAACAGCAAGTGCTCTTTTCGAAATAGGTGTAGACCTCTTATTTACAGAAAAACTGCAACACAATATGCTTTCAAAACCAAATCGAATTGAAACTGAAACTGAAAACCTTTGTCTACAGCATGGAAATTATTAAACACGTTATTATTGTTGTCGGTTGTTTGAATGAAATACTAGGATGTCTAGCAGTAATCTTCGTAATCTCTTTAAAAAAACTGAAAAAAAACGTGTTTTGAAGCAAAAATTTAAACCACAAGTTGTTAAAGAAAATATGATAATCCTAAAAGTTTTAAATATGATTATGGTAACAAACTAACAGAATTACTCATAATTGGTTAAAAAAGCAAATACAATTCCTTGTCACGAATAATTCCAATACACTCTACGTTTTTTTCTCTTTCAAAAAACTGAAAAGAAACAAGTTTTGGCGAAGAACATTTAAGCTACAAATTTTTAAATAAGATTATTTTTACAAATCCTCACCTAGAAGGGCACTAACAGAAATACGAAGAAGTTGGCTAAAAAGCAAATACAATTGCTTGTCACGAATAATTCCAATACATTTGTTTAGAACGAGTTATACTTCTTAAGTCCCACATCAAAAGTATGCTAAAAATCGTAATTTCGTTGCTTAGCAATTTCTATACTAACTGAATAAATTATGGATATATCCACAGTGCTGAAATAATGTTTAGATAGGCAAATAATTTTCAACATTATATTTGTCTAATTTAACAAATATGTTGTCCATGCAATAGGAAACTCAATAAGAAATATTGGTTAGTTTTTTGCTACAACAACCCTTTTACAATTTCCAAAGCTTTAGGTTTCAATAATACTTGTATAGTCTAAGACAAATTTATTCGATATTGGGTAACGCAATAAAGTGGATATTTCTCCCAACAATATCACTATTTTTGGCTGATTATTCTAAGCTAGCTAATCATTAAGATATGGGCTTTATAAAATAAACTGGCGTTTAGTTGCCTTTTCTGCATCGTCTATGAATAAAGGTTTTAATTGTTATTGCTACAACTTTTTATGTGGAAATTATTTATAAAAATGTTATAAACTAAACTGGCTTAGTTTCAGGATCGTTAGACCCTTAAATTACCATTCTTCAACGTCTATGAATAAATATATTAATTTTGATATAGAAATTGTTTATAAAATTTTGTAAACCAACTTGAATCCGTTTTTGAAAAATCTGTGAAAGCCATTCAGCAGATTTCTGGCCATATTTGCAATGCCTTGACATCCTAGTAGTACAGCAATAATTAATTTTACAAATCGTGAAACCTCATCTTTTGTTCATTCATCTTCACTGTTCATTCCTGAAATATAATAATAATAATAAAATAATGTTTTATTTATTATTATTTTTTTAATGTTCTAAGTAGACCTACAAAATCAATGTCAAGAATCGCCTTTTTCGACTCTCTAATAAATAACGATTTGAGTCATGAAATATCACAGGGCGATTGGGATGTGTATTTCCTTCTTTAAGGTTTCAAAAACAAAACACAGATGCTGCAGAAGTTATGTGAGTGGCCGATTTGCTGTGAATATATAGCTGAGAAACTTTGGATAGCATTACAGAGCTATTTGCCTGCTAGTTGTGTTGTTATATAACTATTTATGATCAGCAAAGAAAATATAAAGCGTTCTCTTTGACTTTCCATTTAAATAATTCCCACAGCATTGTTTTTTGAGGTTTTTCTTTCTTTTATTCATTTAGTGACTTAATTGAACTTTAAAATAGTGTTCATAATTTACATATACAAGAATTTTACAACTTTAAGTTTTTGGACAATCTTTTCTTTTCGTAATTGGTTTTGTTGTTGTTGTTGTTGTATGTATATAATTATATATCATTTAAATTGAATAAATAATGTTTTTTGTTGTTATTATTGTTTAAATTAAACATACATACTTGTAGTCATTAAATTATAGACACAAAATACAATCAATGTAAGCAAATTGTTGTGCCATAATTCTGTACTTTATTCTTCTGGTTTTTTTTTTAAATGATTCTCTTTATAATAATAATAATGTACTTAAATCGTAATTGTAAATATTTGTATGTAACTATAGTACATTAGATCACTAGCTTTTCGTTTCACGAGTGAGTTTACACATCTACTACATACAGCAGCAAGTTTTGCAGAAAACTTGAGAAGAAAAAGGGGGTTTTGTTGACTGAATGTTGTTATCTCTAATCAATAATCAATAATTGTTGTTGATGCCTCAATGCCTTCCAGCGGCCAGTTTGTCCGGCTCTTGCAGCCACTATGGATGCGACGACCCCATCCGTGGTCCGTATAGGGAGTAGGGTGCAAAATATTGTGCCAGTGCGGGATGCGGTGGCAACCCTGGGAGGCCGGGTGGCGCCAACGAGGGGGGCAGCATTGAGGGCTTGCCATAGGGATGATAACGAGCTGCCGCAGATAGTGGACTCAACGGTGGTGTGGGATAGGTGCGTTGAAAGAGCGGATGATTCGGTGGTATGCCGCCAGCTGCCGCAGCACTCAGCACCGAGTCGGGCACTGAAGCGGTGTGTGTGCGTAAATGTTGAAATAGGTCGTCGGAGGTGCCGAAACGCTTCCCACAATATGCCGCATCGCTGCCAATCCAGCTGCAAACATAGGGCAGCTGTGAGGCAGCAGCCAAAGCGGCCAATTGGGCATGATAGGAGGAGGCAGCGGCCGCAGCGGCTACAGCTGCCGCACTGGAACCGCCCGGACTCTGTCCATTGCCCCCCACACCATTCTTGCCGCTCTCGCATTGCGGACAGCCGGCAGCGCAGGGTTGTCCGGCGGCCTTGTTCAGGAAATGCGGACTTGAGGGACAACCCGTGCAGTAGGGATCCCGACAAACGTTCGGCGACGACATCATCGGCTCCAGACCCTTGAGCCGAGCATAGTTCAGATAGGGGTTCATGGCCGCTGCCTTGAACATGGGATGATGTGGGGACATCAGTGTGCTGGCTGCCATCAAATCCATGGGATAGGCTCCATACCCAGTCGGATAGTATGCCGATCCAGCACCACCCTGCGCACTGCTGTTCTGCACGCCGGCAGCGGCGGCCGCTGCATGCAGGGCCTTCACATAGCTGGCCTCCTTGGCGGCGGCCAGAGCCGCCTCGGAGGCGGCCTGAAGACGCGAGCCGCTGCCCATGCCACTGCTGACTGTTGTTGTTGTTGTGGGAACGCTGGGGCTGTGCAGCGAAGCGGACTCTTTGGAACTGGTGCGCGCCTGCACAGGACTGCCATTGAGGCGGGCATGCAAGTCAAGGGCGCTGGAGCCGCCACCGCCTGCTCCTGCTGTGGGTGTGCGTCTTAAGCCATTTGTGGTCGCCACTGATCCAGCAGCGGAAGCTGCCGGAGAGCCGCGCTGTGAACTGCTGGCACTTTGGTTGGAATCACAGCGCTGGCCATTCGTGCCGCTGCCCTTGGGTGTTTTGACACGCTGCTGACTATTTGTGAGATTTGTGGCGCCACAGTCGCTGTTGCTGCTGCTGCTGCTGGGCGGTAAATGATTGTTGTTCGACTCATAGGGCTTAAAGGTGCTCAGCACTTTGTTTGCCAGCGGCAGAGGCTGCGGCTGTTGCTCCACAGACCCCGTAGATACCGAGGACGAATGACTGCTAACTGGTGAGGATTTATCGCGTGCATTGTCCGTTAAGCCACCGCTGCCACCGCCGCCTCCTGTTGTCGCTCCGCCTTGACCGTTGCCGCTCCCGCCGCCACCCTTGAGCGTCTTTGTGGACTTTTCAATGTTGGCCGCCAGCAGTTTGGGATTAGCGGTGTCTGCGCCAATGGCGCTGCATGTCTGTGCCAATAGCGCCAACGGACTGCTTTTGTTATCCAGCTGCAACGAGCAATGGTGGAAAAGGAAAAACATTAATCACAATGTGCATAAAGGTACGCATGTGTACGATATTATTATATATGGGACTGCCTCACGCGCTCTCTTGTGTGAAAAATTGCGCCATTTGTAATGCCCTAACAAAAGGCACTTTGGAAACTTTGTCAACAAGTTTGTAACGACTGCACAAAATAACCCTTTCACTTGTGTATATATCTATATATATTAAGGTTGTCTGTACAAATATCTGTTGAAACTAGCTATGCAATTAAGAATGTATTTCTTTTACCTTTTAATTACTTAATTTATTAAATAAAGTTCGGAAGAGGAGAAATAATCAATGTTGTATAAAGTTTGCCATAAACAGTACCTAACATGAGTTCAACAGAAAGATCGCTAGATGGAGAAAACGACAATAAAAACCATAATTATTTGTTGTTATATATAAGATGAGAAGGGATTCACAATTTGTTTAAAGTTTTCTATAAACAGCACTAAACATGAGTTCAACACAAAGATCGCTAGATGAAGCAAACGACAATTAATAACTAAATATTACTGTGCCGCCATCTATCGATTTATAAGTACACACTGCTTCTGGCCATCTATCGCTTTTTAAACGTTCGTTGCTCGTTCTCGGTCGGGTTAGGAGACTCTTTTCCACATGTTCTAAATCTAAAAACTGAATTTTCAAGCATCGCTTTACATTAAAGCGTATTCAGTGTTCGTGGCTTCACATTTACATTTAGTTTGTATTTTAGTTTTCTGCGTAAGGCGTGCCTTCTTCATCAGATAAGATTTAAGTAGCCAAAAACGTTGGCTCGTTCGTAAACGGACGGCACTTGGCACTGAACCGAATGTCTTTTCTTCGCCTTTATTGTCTTCAACACTTGCTGTACAATGGCAACAACAACAAAAAAAAAAAAATGAAGTAAAAAGTAAATAAATAAAGGGAAGACAAAAAGAAGAACAACTAACTTGGCATTTAAGCATGACCAGTGATCCTAATCTTGCTTGACCATGAAATATTTGGAAAACGGGCTTTCAATTATAAACTCAGTTAGGCCGGTTGAAATGGAAAACAAGACCAAAAATTTGAGTTTTGCATGAATAAGGTAGATGAGCCCGTACAAGAATTGCAAAGAGTATTTAAAAGTGCAAATAAATTGTATTTAAGCCTTATAGTTGATCAAATTAATATTGAATATCAAAAACGGCATGCTTTTAAGCATAAATATAAAATATAATAATAATATAAAATACAATACGATAGGCCAAGCACAGTTTTTGTGCAAATTACTTTGCTGATATTTTAAAATAAAGTGTATTTGAAACACATTTAATTTCACATCTAACTTCACATATAACTTATTGAACGACACTCAAATTAAAAGCAGAAGAACAAAATATTTAACGAAATCAACAGCTCGTAACATTTAAAATAATCAAATATTTTAATTAAAGCGTTTTATTATTGAATTGCATTTCAGAAACGACAATTTCCAGCTATTTTATAGCAAAAAATTTGTTTGGCAGCTGCTTCACAAATATTCAATGTGAAAGTCACGTTATTTTACTTAACAGAATTTCTCAATGCTGGGCAATGCTATTTATTTACCTAAGGCGAGTTATATACATTTAGATTTTGCCCGAAGCTCAAGTAACACGCAAATGGGGGTCGTAAATAAACGAAAGACCATAAATATGGATAACGTAACCAAATAAAAGAAATTATGACACCATAAAATAGCTACAAAGGAATAAAAAGAACATTAATAAAAATTACGACGAAAATGAAAGTGCTGTAGGAAGGCAATAAAAATTTGCAACACCCACAACATAAATGAAATGAATGCTTCAGAGAGATGCACAGTTAGGGAGAAAGGGAGGGAGTCAGAGGAAATGGAATAGAGGGTGTTAATCAATAAAGAAATATGCAGACGGTGTTGTTGATAATCAGAGAATCTGAGAAGGGACGGTATTTTGTGAAGTAAATTGTTGTGGAAAGTGGATGCAGATCCTTTCCTACAGACAGTTGGTTGCTTATACTCGAATCCAAAATATGAAATAAAAGTAAATCATATTTAATTTAATATCATATTTTCTGAAACATACATATATGTATTAATTTTGGGCCTTAAGCCAGCACCATCTACTTAACTCTGAATGCTTAAATAGCTTGTCATTGTGAGAATTTCAGATGGTTTCGACGTGGTTAAAACAATGGGTGGTTAACGTAATCAGCCCAATAAAAAGTCATTTGATGAAGCGTAATTTTCTTCATAGTACCATTCGATTATAGAAATTCACTTAATGACATTATTGGGTAGTAAAAACGCCCATAAACTATGGCAAAGTAATATTAATTTTAGAAATTATTAGTTCAAGACTTAAATACCCATTCATTAATCATTATATGCATTAAGAATGGGGGCCAAGTGCCTCGCAGTTGCTAATTTAGCGCCGAAACAATAGAGTTTTATGGAAATACTAAGCAGTCAGAGTGCTGTGCCATAAAGTGAAACATGCTTTTTGCAATAAAAACTATTTCACCGCATGCCATAAATAAAAATGTGTAAGAGTTAAGCATCATAACTCATAGCAGCACTACTACAATGGAAATAATGACGCTCGTTTTAACACTCCCCCTCTTGGAATGGAGTGAGTGCGTGTGTGCGTATGTGTGTCTGTGTGTGTGTGTATGTGTGTTATAATTACGCCCCATGCTTCACTGGCGCGACTCATAAACTATAAAATATTGAAGCTTTTATAATACTCAATGGGCTGCTATAAATTATTATGATACTGCCTGTAAAAACAGCCACATTTCTTATCGGTACTTAAGCTTTAAGTATACAAAACTGTTTTTTGTTGTTGTTGCTGTTCTTGCTTTTAATGCGCATGTGTTGCCGCTTATTCATATAGTATTGGGGTAGGCCTATCCCCTCCCTCCCCAGGCGCTGTTTGGCTCAGCACTTAATGGGGAATACAACACACACACACCCCATGTGCATGAATATTAGGACAATTAGTCATAATTTATTGCCGAATTGATTATATATATACTATGTGTATATTGAAATTTCGTTGCGTTTCGTTTTTGTTGTTCGTGTGTTTTGTTTATTACTTGTGTCATATTTTATGTGTGGGGCTTGTGATTTGATTTCTAGACCTTTCGGAAATATCGTCTATTTAGAGCGCTTATCTCGAGTTCCGTGAAAGCAATCACCACAAAAATTCTGAAATATCATAGGAGTACATAGGAGTATGTACTGTGTGTGTATTATTTGTTATCTAGAGCTGCTCTTTTGCAATTACAAATACAAATTACAACTGCATGCAACAAATATGTTGTCAAGTTTATTTAAAGCTCGGTTGGGTGGACGCTAAAAGGCCTGTATCGCCAGTGTTGCCAGATGACAAATGAAATGCCACAATTCTGTGATTATAGGAAGTACTTTGTACATGCTTCGTATTTGCTGCTTAAATTGAAGCTTGGTTTGGTGGTCGCTAAAAAGTCTGTGTCGCCAGTGTTGCCAAATGACAAATGAACCGCCATAATTGTAAGCAATTCTGCGATTATAAGAAGTACTTTATATATGCTTCGTATACGTATTAAAAGAATTTTCAGCTTAAATTAAAGCTTGGTTTGGTAGACGCTTAAATGCCAGCATCGCCAGTGTTGCCAAATGACAAATGAAGTGCTACAATTGTTAGCAATTCTGCGATTATAAGAAAGATAGAAGAATTCGTTGCTAAAATAGTGCCAAACAATTTATTTTCTATAAGAAATGCTTTGTACCTGGAAATATATTTGTATTTAAGAAGAATTTGCTGCTAAAATAAAAATGTATTTTCTAATGGAAATGCTTTGTTCCTAGCAAGGTATTTATATTTTTGAAGAATTTGATGCCAAAAGAGTGCTAAACAATTTGTTTTGGTTCCCACAAAAACTAAAGTGTTGCTAGCACTACCTAGACTTATTTCCAATACTACACGTCTTATTTACGAGAAAATCGGTTAATTGGTTGCTCATACTATGTAGTACTTAATTAGGCATTCCATAGTTCATATAAAGGAGGAACTTGTTGCTGTTGTTGTCGCTTTGTGTGGCTGCAGGGCATATAAATCCCCAAGTACTATGGAATTGGAATCAAAGTGCCATATGTAGATATTGTTGATTTATAGTCCCAGCACAGTCATTGTATCGACTGTGTAATTTATTATCTAGGCAGGTTTCAGGCATGGGGCTTATTCGATTTTTAGCGCACTACGAACCCATTCGTCAGAACTATTTTTATATTCAGTTTTATTTTGTTATTTTGTACGGAGGCCATCCACTTATTATGAACAATTAAAAGTCACATAAAATTCGACGGAGGGAAATAAATAGTAGGTAGTACTATTTGTAAGTTCATATTTTAGCATTTAGCACATCATTGTGAATGGAAAGAGCTTACAAGAGCGAGCTGTTTAAATTAAATATCGTGTGTGCGTACGCGTATGTGCAATAAAAGCAAAGTAAATAGTTATACCACTTAATTAGCACTTGTTGCAATTTGTTGCTGTTGTTACTGTTGTTGTGTCGTTGTTAAACTTTACACATTTCGAAATGAACGCCTGAAATACGAAACAAAACACAACACAACAAAAAACTGGCTATTGCATCCGTTTACAAATTATGAATGTTGTGCTAATTGAAATGTTACACCTTGTGCTAAAAAAAAATATAAGTACAAAAAAAAAACACGAGAAATAAAAAGTAATATGTGCAAATAACAATAACAACTACGGTTAATTTAACATGTTGCTATAACTAAATAACAAGTAAACGGCAGCAAAAACAACCAAAGCAACAAAGACAATAACAGCAATAACTACAACAATAGCAACAATAACAACAACAAGCACAGTTCAACAAACGCACTCGAAACCATAAAATGTCGAGACCCCAAGTTGTATAGTTAGTCACGCCATTTGCACAACCAAGTCACAGTCACTCG